TTTTCTAATCACATTAAAAATGTCATTTGAACCAATTGATTACTTCTTTCCAGCCAACCAAGAAGAAATTTACTATATTAATTTATTTCCACAGTCATCACAATACTCATTACCAACAAATGAATCTAACAATTCATTATCTCTTTGAATTTGGATTGGTTAAATGAAGATGCATTGGTTTCTTCTCAAGGTAAGAATTTATAATTAAAATAGCAATGGTATAGTAAGAGAGAAATTAACCATTTAGTTTTGTATAGACACAATTATTTCTGAATCTTTTGAAGATTTTTCAACCAGTGAATCAACAAAAGAATTTGAAATCAATAAAGTTAGAAAAAACAACGCTAATGAACTTAAGCAAGAAGCAAAGCACAACCTTGAAGCAAATATAAAAAATATTAATTATGCTAATGATCATATAATTGACGATATTAATGATCAATATAAATTTTATATATTGATTTTTATTCTTTCATTTATACTTAATTTATTGATTTATTATTTTTATTTGAATATAAGAAATGATATTTACTTTTCATGTATTTTGAAAATTATTGAATTATTTCGATTTCTTTTATAACATTAATAGAGAATCAATAAATAAAATATTTTTTTAGCTATAAATTTAATAATCATATTTCGATGATTTTGAAGCTTTGATTTTACCAGTCATGTGATTGCAATTTCAAAAAATAATTGGGATCACATGATTACGCTAACTCAATATAATTCTGGCAAAATTAAAATAATATGATTCAGTAAATCTAATTAGTTTGTATTTTCATGTCTTCTTGTTAACCGTGAATGGTGCAGAATTATTGTACCGATATTATAGAGAGAACCTTATTTTAAAGATAAAAGAATCATTGAATTGTGTCTTTTTGAACTAAATGCTAAAGAACAAGCTTAGTTAATCCCATTTAAAATTGACATTTTGATGCCTCTATTTGATTATACAAGTTATATTACGTCTATTGATGGTTGGAGTTTGATCAGAGGAGTGTTAGATTTTCTTAACGAATATGAAGGAAGTTATATCTATCGGGTTAGGACCTAGCCTTCTTTTTTACCTAAAGCAAACAGATAGTGGTCAATTTTCATAAATATACATTAATTGAGATTTGAACTGTGAATTACAGTACATATAAGTATATTTTAAACTAAAGTTTTACAATGAACTGCGTAATACTAATATAATTATATTGCATAGAATAGACTTACTTTATCTTAAATATAAATTAAAAACCTGTTTAAGAAAAGTAAATGGAGAATATCAATATGCATCTAAATCTAGTTCTTATTGTAATTTCGAAAGTACGTATAAATAAAAATATATTATAAGTTATAATTTATAAATTAATCTAAAAAACCTGTTTCAAGATAATTTTAAGCGTAAAAAAATTATTTAAGCCAAATTTGGTAACTATATAAAAAAATTTACTCTTAGTTTAACGTTAAGTTCAATTCCGGTTTAGCCACTAATTTACTTTACCAAATATATTTAAGCGTTAGAGAACTATGCCAAAAATCTTATGCTCTATACTTTCGGATAAAGGTGCAATCTGTAATCTATTTTCATATTTAAATTTACGGATATCTGTAAATTTAGTGATATGGATAATAGATTGCACCTCTACTTTCAGACAAATTCGTTATTGAATTTGTCCCGATATCAGTAGGATATCTTTAAGTTATTAGAAATAAATATAAGAGAAGTTATTATTTTATTTTTATCTATATTTAAATTACGGATATTCATTTTTCGACTTCGAATTTTAGGGCTGAATTTGATTATGGACGAATTAATTTGTCCTGATATCCGGTGGGATATCATTTAAACCACTATGATGATTAAAGTATTTAAACAAAGCAATTGAGATCACATCTCATAGATCTGAGCAGTTAATTCCTAAAAATGTTTCCGAAATTAACACGAAATTTGCCTTATGAAAGAAAACCTAAAACCAGGCAACAAAAGAAAGATGAGAGAATAACTAAAGACTTTGTAATTAAAAAAATTGTTGATCATGTCAGGTATCTCGAAAGAAAAAAGAAAAGAGCACCAGACAAAGACAAATCTCTTTACGAAAATGAAATTATTGGTACGAATGTTGAAAACAAGAAATCAAAAATTTGCCCGAGGATGATCCTTTAATCTTTAAAGACATTTTTTTACATTACAATATCAAAACAAAAGAACGTAATAAAGAAATTAAAAGGTAAATTGTTTTCTATTATATTTTTAAGTATAATTATTTTTTATTTTTGCTTTTAAATTTTATTTTTTATCGATTAGCTTACGTGAAGAAAATAAGTGGCTTACACAAGAAATTATTAATAATAAAGAAAGAATTAATGAATTAGAAAGCCAGATCAAACAGATAACAAATGAAAAGAATCGAGAAATTGAAGATTTGAATAATCAAGTCACAAAAATGCAGATAGATGCTAAAAGTTTAAATTCTGCAATAAATCAACATAAAGAAAAACTCAAAAATGTAAAAGACGATTATATCGAAAAATGCCACAACCTTGAAACAGAAAATAGTGAATTAAAGAAAACAATAAAAGGCTTAGAGATCAATCTTGAATGCTCACAAAAAATAAATAATCAAAGTATGTTGAACAAAAAAGGTATTTATTGGTTAAACAATATTTTTTTTTTGTATTTCATCGCATATATTTGACTTTACTTTATGAAAATGTTAATCAATTCGATATTATTGAAGACGAACATTCGAATATTGAGAAAAAATCAAACTTTGAATCATTAGAAATTCTAAAAATTTTTGCTGAAATTGCCAAAAATTTATCCCCTGGAGAAATTTAACCTTTTTATTAGTAAATAAGAAAATTAATATTAAGTTGAATAAACATTTTGAAGAATATCAAAATTTTTGGAAAAATTACTTTTTTCAATTTTCCAGAAGAATATCAAGGATGGAAGCTTTTCTTTTATATAAATATAAAAAATGCCTACATTGCAATAAGAAAATTACTGATCCCGTAATAATTTATAAGTTAAAAATCAAAATTTGTAGACAATGTATTGTTGATGCTTTAATTAGGTATGTAGTAATTAACAAGTGCATTTTTTTTTTTTTTTTAATTGCATATTATGTTTTTTTTAAATTTTAATTTACTTTAGTAATGAAGAATTCGAAAAAACTTATTTTCCTGTCGATTCGAGACTGACTGATAAAAGAGCAATAATTAAAGCAGTTTATTATTCTGTAGATTTTATGCAGCTTAAAGGATCATATTTAAGTTTTGACCTACAGTACGATTCCATGCTATCACATGTATTATTTTTTTATAGAAAAGATATTGATAAGTTCGCAAAGGAATTAAAACAAATTCCTAATGATAATTTAGTTAATTGGCTACAAGAGAGAGAAAATATTGTTCATCAATATCAAAAAAATATTTTAAAGGCTAAACATCCTCTGCTTAATGATAAAAATATTGAATTGATGTTAAGTAGAGCTTCATTTTGTATTCCTTCAAAATTTAGCTTAGCGACAATTTAAATTCTATTATTTCTAATTTCGTATGAATATCTGAATATTATAAAAATGTAAATATTTCTTAAATCCAATTTATATTTAGTAATAAATTTCATCTATATAAATTTGTAAGAAAAATATTCGATTATTTTTAAAATTAGAATTAAAATTTATAGAATTTGTATTGTCCCAGTATTATTCTCGCTTTATTAATAAATAAAAATAGCATTTTTTCGCTTTATAGATTTTCTACTTTTTTAGTTGAAGAAATTTACTATAAAATAAAAAAATTTCTAATGAAGACATTCGTCGCCTACGCCTACATTGATGTGTTACAACCAATGTCTACGCAACAACATACTAAATATAATACCATGCACGCAATAATAAGATCAAATCACGCGTACTAAATATAAATATAATTATCATATTTAATGTAAACAACAATTATGCTGCCGTAGATGCATCTTTAAACTTGAAAAATCAGATCTTACGCATTGAAATTTTAGGAAGTTTTCTAAAATTGGGCATATTAATCTGAAAGAATTCTGATGTACCAATTAAATTTATTTTTAATAAGCAAAAAAGAGCAAAGTGAAGAGGTGTTGCGAAAAATCAGTTGATAATTCAAATCAAGAAAAACTCCTGCTTGTTGCAATACATATGTATTACCAACTAAATTTATCTTGAAAAGAACAAAGTTTGTAATTGTGAAACTTAGGGGTTTGTAGTTGTGAAACTTGGGCGCTATGAAAAATCAGTTGATTATAATTCAAATCAAAAAAAGCTCTTGCTTGTTACTGTAAACACATGTACCAATTAAATTTATTTTTGATAAGCAAAAAAAGAGCAAAGTTAAGAGGCACTGCGAAAAATCAGTTGATAATTCAAATCAAGAACAGCTGTGAAACTTGAGCACTGCAAAAAATCAGTTGACCAACTAAATTTATCTTGAAAAGAACAAGTTTGCGATTGTGATACTTAGGGGTTGTGAAACTTGGGCGCCATGAAAAATCAGTTGATAATTCAAATCAAGAAAAGCTCTGTAAACAATGTACCAATTAAATTTATCTTGATAAGAAAAGAACAAAGTTTACAGTTGTGAAACTTGAATGCTGCGAAAAATTTAGTTGATAATTCAAATCAAGAAAAGCTCTTGCTTGTTACTATAAACATGTACCAATCAAATTTATTTTTGATAAGCAAAAAGAGCAAAGTGAAGAGACGCTGCGAAAAATCAGTTGATAATTCAAATCAAGAAAAACTCTTGCTTGTTGTTGTATATATGTATTACTAACTAAATTTATCTTGAAAAGAACAAGTTTGTAATTGTGAAATTTTGCCAAGCGCCCCAATTTACAACAACAATATACTTAAATTTATTTTCGTTTCTTTTCTAATCACATTAAAAATGTCATTTAAACCAATTGATTACTTCTTTCCAGCCAACCAAGAAGAAATTTACTATAATAATTTATTTCCACAGTCATCACAATACTCATTACCAACAAATGAATTAACAATTCGTTACTCTCTTTGAATTTGGATTGGTTAAATGAAGATGCATTGGTTTCTTCTCAAGGTGAGAATTTACAATTAAAATAGCAATGGTATAGTGAGAGAGAAATTAACCATTTAGTTTTGTATAGACACAATTATTTCCAAATTTTTGAAGATTTTCAACCAGTGAATCAACAAAAGAATCTGAAATCAATAAAGTTAGAAAAAACAATGCTAACATATAAGCAGATTTAACGCAAGTAAATCAGGCATGTGACAATACAGAATTCTATATGTAAATAAAAAATTTTATTGGCTGTTGCTTTGATTTATTTCCTTTTTTAGTAATTTTAAATCAACCATAAATCAAAGTAAATATTACATGATCATGTGCATGCATGTTTATTGGTAGTTTGTCAATCCATGTGATTATTTATATATATGTTTATCGATTATTGAATTATCATATTAGTGATCTGCAAATGCGTCAAATCTGCCCATATGATGAACTTAAGCAAGAAGCAAAGCACAACCTTGAAGCAAATATAAAAAATATTAATTATGCTAATGATCGTATAATTGACGATATTAATGATCAATATAAATTTTATATATTGATTTTTATTCTTTTATTTATACTTAATTTATTGATTTATTATTTTTATTTGAATATAAGAAATGATATTTACTTTTTATGTATTTTGAAATTATTGAATTATTTCGATTTCTTTTAATAACATTAATAGAGAATCAATAAATAAAATATGTTTTTGGCTATAAAATTTAATCATCATATTTCGATGATTTTGAAGCTATATTGATGATCCTTTGATTTTACCGGTCATGGTAATTTTCAAATCAATTATTTTAACTACAAATAGATAATAACGAATTTATATATAAAAATTAAAAGAGTGTCTTGATTAATAACTATCGTTTCTTTTTCGCCCAAATATGTAAAGTTACATTGCATTAAAAATTCAAATCATTTTTATTATTTCAGTTTTTGCTTCTGACCAAAATTACACATGACCATGGGTCTATTGATGCATCAAGATTTTACTGCACTGCATCCGGCTTTTGTAATTTTATTTTCAAAAATTATACATAGATATCATAGAACAATATAGAGATTTTTTTATTTGAGTTTATCACAAAATTTAAAAATATATCAAAATTTGATTGTATAAATTTATACGAAAATGAAGAAAAGCCTGCGGAAAATGTAAGCGAAGAAGAAAAAGATCTGGAATGAAAGTGTTGACGAATTTAAAAGGAAGGACCATAATACTTACCTAATAGATTTCTTGTATCTCTTCGATCTCTTAAACACTCCTCTATTATTCATTCGATATATTTATTAATTAAATCAAATAATTAAATTCAAAACAAATATAATATTACCTGAGCTTCTATTGCTTTTAATATGTTTAAAAGTTTCATTATCTGACCTTTTTGAACCCGCTATTCATGCAATAAATATATTATAACTAAAAAGTTAGTACAAAGTTGTTTTAAAATGTAAGAGTAAATTGGCATTTACTTGATTGATTCAATCTTCTTTTGCTTATATTTCTTAAACTAGTTTCTAAATCCATAACCTTCTGTCTTAATAAAATGATCTGATTCTTGAGTTCGAATTCTGTAAAATCTCTTGAAGTTAGATCTTCGTTATCTTGTTTCGCGACTCCTCTAAGTCGATTTTCATTAAATGCGTTGGTTCTGATTGC